GGAGCCCCGCGTCCTCGCGCCACCCCGAGCCAGCGCCGCTGCTGAGGACACGGCGCCGTGCCCCCCTCCCTCCAAACTACCCCAACCTCCTTGTGCTTCCATGCACACGACAGCAGACCTTGGAAGGACAACAGAAATGCTGGAAAAAGCAGAAAAAGTGGTTTTTCGGGTACGCCCTGTTGGGGTGTTGGGGGGGGGGGGGGGGGGTTTGTTTGGGTTTTTTTACCTACATCCAATACCTAAAAGTCATTTGTTGTTAAAAAGTCAGATCTGTGGTGAGCCTCCGGGAATCTAAGTAGCAGCGAGAAATAAAAAAATAAAATAAGTAAAAATTATCAAACCCGAACGGGAAGTTTTGCTGAAGGAACCGAGGACAGCCCCGTCCCTGATGGCAACGTGGCTCCAAAATGCACCCCACCCCCCCCGCGCATTTTGCCAGACCGGCCATGCAGATTGGGAAAAGCCAGCTGAAACAGCAGTGAAAAACAGAGCCTCGCTGAAGGCTTGAATCAAGTAACTGCCGGATTTTTAATATTTGGGCTTGTTACTGGGCACGTGTTAGACAGCATCCGGACCACAGCAGTCGCTCCCTCCAAACCGCCCCTCCCCGACTTACGACTGAAGCAGAACAAAACTGAGTTTACACGCTCAGAACCCCAGCCCAGAATCCCATTTCCATCCTTCATTAGAAATACAAATATTTGATTGCAAATACACCACTTCTGAGTCCAGCAGCACATCAGACCAAGATGACGAAGACCCCAAGCCCCCAGAGTTGAATTACAAATACCTACGGATCTTCCTGCACGACGCCGTCCCCTGCATTTCAGCTGTCGCGATCCGTACGCCCACCCAAAAGGCACGCCACCCACGTCAGCAACTCTCCATGCTATTGCCCTTGGAAAACAAAACTGTCTCTGGGTTTGTCTTTAGTCCAATTTGTTTTCACCTAACACATGCTGAGCCCTGGCCTGAAAGACAGAACCACCCGGAGCGTTCAGGATTATTTCTGGCCTAAACAGTCCTACCCCAACTTTGAACACCCCCCCCTCCTCGTTCAGGATTATTTCTGGCCTAAACAGTCCTACCCCAACTTTGAACACCCCCCCTCCTCGTTCAGGATTATTTCTGGCCTAAACAGTCCTACCCCAACTTTGAACACCCCCCCTCCTCGTTCCAGCGGTGTCTGTTCAGAGCTGTACCAGAAATCAAATATTTAGATTTGGAAGGCATCGATCTGCATGAGGGAGAAGGCAGCTCTTACTGCGCGTTTGGTCCAGAACAACCAGAAACCCAGGAAAGGCGGGGGGGGGGGAAGCATTTTTGATTGCCAACAAGTTAGCGGTGTACAATCTTAGCCACGGGAGCTTACCAGAGCCAGACCTACTGAAAATCCAGACGAACTGCCCTGGCACGTTCCTTTTGTGGCTCATGCTACAAGCAAGAAAAATATCTCCCAGCTCGCTGGCCAAACTTCAGCCACCTTCTGTGCTGTCTGCGCCGCCGAGGGCACGGACGCCAAACCTTTGCAGTGCAGACCCGCCGGCGCTCGGCTCGATGGCAAAGACACGCTCGCGTTCATTCAGCAAAATCCAGAGCAGCTGGAGAGACGGCTCCTGTCCCCTCCCAGCCCAGCCATCCAGCGTCTCCTCCTCCGAAAGTGTGTCAGAAGGGGCGCCAATCCAGGCCCGCTCTGTCCCCTGCTCCGAGGGGCCCTATTTTTTTGCCTTTTATAGGTAATTTCATGATTGTTGCTTGGGGTTTCAGGACTGCTGCCGCCGCCACCAGATGCGACACTTGCATGCTGCAATAAGCTCCACATTTCAGAATTTGGGCTTCAGAAACCCAAGATATTCTTCCCCCAGCACTGAGGAGTGGTTTTTGTCTCCGTTACCGGACTCCAGACCTTAACACCATTGCCCATTCATCCCCAGCCGCTCCCGCTCCTCTCAGACACGCCATCCCTCCCACTGATTACCCCCGACACCGGCAAAGCCTACTTAAACCTTGCTTCTGGCCACAATTCTGCATTGAACCCAAAGAACAAACGTCCTCCCCGAAACACTGAGTGTTCAAAACCCTTTTAATTGCCGGGCATTTCAAGAGCACAGGCCGCCACTGAAAACACGCTTGCTTCCACGCCGGCAGCGATGGCGACTGCGCGTGCTACCAGGCATCAGCCACCCCATTGCCAAGACCACAGGCAGAGTCACCTGAAATCATTAAAGTGTGTTCAAAGTCTGCAAAATACTTCATGTTTTAAATACGCCTCTCCGCTTCGTTATGACCAACTACATCCATAAATGAGGAGAGAGAAGGAAAGGTAAGAAACTGGCACCTTGCCACCTACCTGCTCTGGGAATTGCGAATGCTTCCCTAACCACCCGCACGCCTCAGATGCAAGTTCCTCCTGCAGACACCCAATTACCTCGACATTTTATTTCTAGTAACACACTTGAGGGACAGCAGATGTGCCGGCGTCGCGTTGTCCTGACATCTTCAGGGCTACTAAAATGCTCCGAGGGCTGGAGCCCCTCTGCTGTGAGGCCAGGCTGGGAGAGTTGGGGGTGTTCAGCCTGGAGAAGAGAAGGCTGTGGGCAGAGCTGAGTGAGGCCGGTCAGGGCTTCAAGGGGGCCCAGAGGAAAGGGGGGGACAAGCTTTTTAGTAGGGCCAGCTGGGACAGGACAAGGGGGGATGGCTTTAAACTGAAGCAGGGTGGGTTTAGACTGGATCTAAGGAAGAAATTCTTTACAATGTGGGTGGTGAAAGCCTGGCAGGGGTTGCCCAGAGAGGGGGTGGAGGCCCCATCCCTGGGAACATTGCAGGCCAGGTTGGCCAGGGCTGTGAGCAACCTGATGTGGTTCAAGGTGTCCCTGCTCCTGCAGGGGGGTTGGGCTGGGTGACCTCTGGGGGTCCCTTCCCACCCAAAACATTCTGTGATTCTGTGATTCTATGTCCATTAGCCGCCCAGCAACCCCTGGTACTGTCCCAGGGGTATCTCGGGCAGGGTGGCTCTCGGCCATCCTTCCTCCTGTGGATGGCGACCCCATGACCCGGCACGCCGAACACGAAAGACTGGATGCCTGCGCAACAGATTCACACGGCCATCGAGTGGGTTTTGAACGCGCCAGTTCAATCAGTTCAGCAAGTAACCTGTAATTCCAGCCGCACAGGAGCATCCCTGCTCGACATACTGGGTGAGTACGACTGGCTCGCGCTCATGTCATGGAAATTAAGCTACATTTAAAAACAGGATTTAATGAAAACAGTATTTCAGCTCTCCAACTCCCCCACCCAGGGAACGCTACCATCCGCTGCCTACCCACAGCCTCTGAAACTGCTGCAAAGAGGCTCAAAACCGAGTGCAAAGCTCAGCCAGCGGCTCCTTCACACTTCACCATCAGATATGGTTAAAAATACTCAAATCAGATTATCTCCTGAGACGGCTGTGCATGTGATAGCTCCTCTCCTGCCACAGAAGGGCTAGAAGAACCGGACCCAGCGTGCCATGGCCAGCACATGACGTCCAGCTGCCAGCGCGGCTGCGCAGCCTCTGCCAAACTCTGCTGACCCCTCTCAGCCTTTCCGAACTCCAAGGAGGCAAGCTGAGCTCAACGCTCCGGGCCGCACGATGCTCTCCTCAGCATCTGTTTCCTTTCCTTAAGCTGCACGTGAGGCGGGAGGAGTTAGCAGCGTGTAGCGCAGCGCTAGGCGTAGCGTCGTCCCCGCAATCCGTCCCACCGTAAGCGTCCACGGGCCGCGCCACGGCGCGTACGCTTTATCGAGCACATACCAACGGCAGCTCCCCGCGGTGAACCGTGCGGTGCTTCCCACCCGCACGCCGCTCACGGCCAACAAACCAAATCGCTCAGACAATCTCTGTTGGTTTAGAAATTGAAAAGCCGCGTCCACCCTTGGAGGAAAAAAATAAAAATCAGCATTCCCTCCCAGAAAGCAGGCACGCGAGTTAACCGTTTCATCCATTACGGGATGCCTGTCGCTCTGCCAGGATCACGGAGCGGCTGGCTGCAAAAGCAGAGGGGGCTGCACAGCTCCTGACAGAGGGACAGGGTAGCGCGCAGCAAGGGAACACACCCTGCCCGCCTACAGCAGCACGGGAACCGCAGAGACCCGGCAGCGCCGTCCCCC